TCTGCCTATCTGTCTGTCTACTTATTTACCATCTTCATCAGCCTGTCTATTTATATGTCTGTTTGTTAGCTTATTTATCTAATGATCTCTGTCTCTCAGTTTGTCTGTCTGTCTATTTGTATGTCTCTCTCTTTTACATATGAATATATATCTATGCAAGAGATGGAATTTTCTTTATATACATACTATCAGATATATCAAATTACTGTATTGTTGCTAATATGTCAAGGAAAATTTCAAAATCTTTCAAGATCCCTATCCCACAACATAATCTTTAATCCTACTTAAGTTATTAAAAGAAATCTAAAAAAAAGCCTAATTTTGACTGACAATATTAAAAACAGTCTTATGGCTCCTGAGGTGAAGTGAATTTATTCCTGTTGTGTGTGTGCCAAATATCCCTTTTACGTACAATGAACATAATGAAAACAGATGTGAGATGGGATCCAAAAAGGCACCGCCATTCTACCAGTAGCTTTCTGTTGTTCACTTGTGCTTCAGATAATTAGTCCTTCCCTTTTAAGATAATTTCGTTTCTGATACTCTATTCTGCTCCATTGTCCCATTTACAAGTTATTTGATACAGTCGGAATTATCACACACACACACACACACACACACACACACACACACACACACACACACACAACACACACACACACACACACACACACTATATATATATTATATATATATATATATATATATATATATATATATATATATATATATGTATATATATATATATATATATATATATATATATATATAATATAATATATATATAATATATATATATATATATATATATATATATATAATATATATATATATATATATATATATATATATATATATATATATATATATATATATATATATATATATATATAAATATATATATATTATATATTATATATATATATATATATATATATATATAATATATAATATATATAATATATATATATATATATATATATATATATATTATATATATATATATATATATATATAATATACTATATACATTATATATTATCATATCATCATACATTACACTATTATTATTATCATTATCATTATCATTTTCATTGTTACTGTAATCACACTATAAATCATTAGCATATTTCATCATCATTAAGATTTTTGCAATGCCATTGTATTTTTTATCAGATTACCGATGATTTTAAGATTGCGTAATTACTGAACAATGATTAAATGATAGGTACTGGTATTGTTTACACAGATAATGATAAAATACAATTAATGTAATAACTATGATGATATAGTAATTGTGATGGTAATTGATAAGGAATAATTAATAATAATGATAAAAGTAGTGATAATAATGATAGTACCAATAACGACAATGACAAAAGCAATGATGATAATTGCAGTTAATAATAATAACAGTGGTAATATTGATATTAAGATCAACTGTAACAACAATGATAATACTAATGAGAATAATGATAAGAGTAAAGACGTTAGTAAGGAAAAAAGTAGTAGTAGTAACAGCAGCAGCAGCACTAGTAATAATAATAAAACTAAAAATGAAAACAATAATAATAATAACAACAGTCATGCTGATAATAACAATATTATAATTGACAATGATGATAATAATCAAGATAATGATAGAGTGGGGGAGTGATAGAGGGGCTCGATGAAGATCTAAATCAACTGGACAAACAAGGTCGACCATATATGGCGCGTTATATCCCCAAATATGACGCACGCACGCTTGTTATACTCACCGAGGGAAATGGAGGCAGAGGACTTGTTATATGCTTAGAGTGCATCAGGAGTGAAGGAAAAAAGAAAACAACGTTGCTATGTATGTAAAAGAGTCTAATATAGTAGTATTCCAAGGGCAATTTTACAGACATCAAAAATGCCAAGCCGAAGAGGAGGTACAAAGAGAACCCCGAATAAAAACAAAAACAACAACAACAAAAAAAAAACGATGAATAACTGGGAAAAGAAAAAAGAGGATGTAAAGACAATTTTTTTGAAAGATTGTCAGAACTCCAACAAAAAAGGGCTGGGAATGGACGCGGGAAGACCTTAAGGTGCAAACGGAAGTGCTGACTTTTCCAACCCAGAAACAAGCTCTGAGGACGAATAACACCAAATGCAAGATCGATAAAATAGCGAAATCAGTTTTAAGGAATGTGTGGCGAAAGAGGTGAAAGCGGAGAGCAAGCAAATGTAAAAATAGCAAAAAAATAATAACATTAAAAGTAATTTAGAACGTATAATCTGGAAAGAATTGGAAAGTTTTATGCGCCGTCGAGAATTATGTAAATTGTGGTGGGATATAAACACCCAGTGTGATAAAGTGATTAAGTCAAGAAGACCGGATATAATCATATCAGAAAAGAAAGAAAATAGATACATGATAATGGACAGGAGAGAAAGAACTAGAAAAATGTTGATAGGTATCAAGACCTAAAGAGAGAACTGGGAGAAATATGGAAAGTAGAAATATTGCCAGTAGTAATAAGTGCATTTTTGTTGTGACAAAGGAAAGATAATAGGAGATGGATAGAAAATCTGAACAGATGTGAAAGTAGGATTACTCTGGCAAGGAACTTTATTGCGAACAGCTCGAATTTTGAGAAGGGCGCTTGAAACCTGAGATAAAAAAGAAAGAAAAAAACCAGCAGGAACCACTTTTTAAGTGACGAGACCTTTTGGGCAAAAATGCTGAATCGACATTAATAATGATGATAGTTATCATTAATAATAAAAGTAATGACAATACTAATAGTGGCATTAATAATGATGAAATACATATAATAGAAATGATGAAATAATGATGACAATATGACAATATGGAGATGATAATGATGACAATATGAATATGGTGATGATGACAATATGGTAAATGATAAATAATGATGATGACAATATGATGATAATAATGATGACAATATGAATGATAATAATGGTGATGACAATATGGTAATGATAATAATGGTGATCATTATCAGAATGATAATCATAATAATAATAATAACTGAAGCAATAGTAATACCTGAAATAAGAGAGATTACGGCTGGTGGTATTATTATTAATAATATTAATATTATTTTCATCATTATCATTATCTCCATTATTTATCATCAGCATTACGTTTATTATCATAATCATTATCATCGTTATTATTACTGTCATTACCATCATCATTTTTATTTACTTTCAGCAGCATTATTCTTATTCCTGTTGAAGACAAACATGATGTATTATGACTTCTTCTCTTTTTTATCACAAGAATGGAAATTGGAGATGAGAAGATAATGCTAATACTAATTGAATGATTATGCTTCACTGTAACGCTGCGTTAAGCAACTGCAGGTATAATTACAAATTGTGGACATGTATTTGAATAAAATATTCAGGATCTGTGTCAAAATTGACAGCATGATGAACAAATCTGATGGATATTCCGTTGTCGTTGATTCATAAGTAACAGGAAGACTAAATATAATCTCTTCTGGCATTCTATGTAACCCTCTCCCACTACCCTCCTCCCCCCCGCTTTCTCTCTCTCTCTCTCTCGCTCTCTCTCTCGCTCTCGCTCTCGCTCTCGCTCGCTCTCGCTCTCTCGCTCTCGCTCTCTCTCTCTCTCTCTCTCTCTCTCTCTCTCTCTCTCTCTCTCTCTCTCTCTCTCTCTCTCTTCCTCTCTCTCTCTCTCTTCTCTCTCTCTCTCTCTCTCTCTCTCTCTCTCTCTCTCTCTCTCTCTCTCTCTCTCTCTCTCTCTCTCTCTCTCTCTCTCTCTCTCTCTCTCTCTCTCTCTCTCTCTCTCTCTCTCTCCT